AAAATACTTGAGATTTTCATCCTAAGAGTATTGATAAGCTCATAAAGATCTATGATAGTCACAAATCTATTCTCACTTTTACTAAGAGTAGCATTCATAATTTTTTATTCTATAGACAACTCAAAAAAATTCAAAAAATTCAAAAAAAAAATAAAAAAATAGATGAGGGTAGTTTACAACTTTTAATATAAAATAGAAATTCCTTCAAAGAGGGGTAATTTTTTCACTTCTAGAAAAAAAAACAAGAACAATAAGTTAAGACTCTTGTCAAACTGTCAAAGACATGAATCTAAAAAAAAAAAAAAAAAAAAAAAAAAAAAAAAAAAAAACTCAATACACTCTTGTATCAGTCAAAAAGATTATAAAGTCATTCAAAGATAGTAATATATTGAACTAAATTAGCTATTACCAAAGATAAAATTACTAGAAAGTCTTAAAACAAGACTAAGGACAAGAATGGCATTGAAAAGAGTGAAAAAGGCTTCTCTTTTGGTTCCATATATACTATCTAACTAAGAGCTATGTGTTTATGTTTTATAAGACCTCTAGCATGTGTTGACTTATAAGATAAGTTTTCTATATGTACACTATATAATTAGTTTGTTCTACAAGCTATTATAATGTATGATATGTAATTAACTTGTTGATCGAATTTCTAACCTACCAATCAACTACAATATCTGTAAAGTCAAAGTTGCAATTGTGATGCTTCTAGAAAGTTTTTCTACAAGATATAATGAAATTAATCTACTTTTATCTACTTCTACCTAATCATGTAAGTAATTACTAAAATAAATATATATGTCTGTGACATCTACCAACCAACTACAAATACGTGTAAAGTCAAAGCCATATCTATAAAGCTTTCAAGAAGCTTTTTTAGAAGATATTATAAAATTAATCTACTTTTGATTACTTCTATTTAATGATATAAGTAATTATTGAAATATATATATATATATATATATATATATATATATATATATATATATATATATATATTCATGACATCAAATTCTTTGCATCATTTATAGTTGTAGTGACAAATTTTTATGGATTCACCTATGAAGTTGGTCTACTTGCTTCTTTCAATTGCACAACTCCTTGACATAGTCAAATAATCTCATTGTTGACTTCTTCTATAGGTATAAAAATAGTACTTTTATAGTTGATATTACTAGAATGTAAAATTTCTTCTCTAAGAATATTAATAAGATTATAAAGAATTATAATAGTTACAATTTTATTATCATTTCTATTAAATATGGTATCTATAATTGGTATTTTATTCTTATAATAGATTATTTAAATAGTCTATAAGTAAAATTAGAAGAAGATAATTTATAATCTTTAATGTCATATAAAAATTTCTACAAAAATGAATAATTCACTTTTTTAAAGAAATTCGTTTTATTAAAAAATAAAAAATATTAGATAAAAATTAAATTATCTAAAAATATATACAATAATAATAATAAATCAAATAATCTATCTATTTCTAAAATAAAATAAAAAATAATTAAATATAATTTTAAGCTACTAAAAATATGAACTTTAATAAATATAAATATACTTTAATATCACAAAAAAGAATTAAAGTAGATAATTAGAATGTATATATGAATTAGGTCTAAAATGGATATTTTCAAATGCAAAATAACTATGAAATCTTGAATCAAGATAGAATATTAAAAAAAATTGAAAATAATAAAGAAGGCCTTATTTTTGCATCTATATATATTATCTACTAAAGAACTATGTAGTGATGTCCTATAGATCATATAACACATGTCTAATTTATAAGACAAGTTTCTAATATGTTTGCTTTATCGCCAACTTGTAATATAAGTGGCTAAATTTACACCAAGTAGCAAACTTATTAGCCAAGTTGTCAACCTATCAATCACTTATAAAAACCTATAAAGTCTACAAAGTTTTTAGAAAGATTTCCAATACGACATGAATAATTTAATCTAAAGCTATTTATTTCTATTTTTAATTAAATATATAAATAAATATATGTTTTTTAAAATATAAATATTTTAATATCCATCTAACTTATAAAATATTTAAATTTTATTTTTAGATAAATTAAATTAATATTTCTATTATATATATATATTAGCCTATTATTTGTGAGGATTTTGTTTTTTTTTGTTAGCATATGTCTTATTTACAAAAATATTATTATCAATCTTTAAATTATTTATATAAAAAGTAGATATTCAAAATTTACATTGATAAAGAAAAAACCAAAAAAAAAATATCATAATTGATTAATAATATTCTTAATATATTTAATTTTATTATATATAATTATTTAAATTTATTTTAAATACTAGGATTTTAAATTTATCAATAGTTTTAGAATTGAAATCTACACCAAACACATAATACTTAATAAGATATTGAATTATTTAGCTCTTCTTTACTTTTATTAATATATACTTGTTTATTGTGATTTTCTTTAGAAGATTATTATATTATTATATATTTGTTCAATTGATTTTGTTATTTGATAAAAAATTATTAATTTAATTATCTCAATAAATGTATCAACTCTGGATTTTAAACTTTTTGGAATTATAAGCAAATCATTGGTATATTAGCTTATAATTAATTATTTAGTATTCAAAGATAACATGATATAAAAAAATTAAAATATATATATTATACATAATTATATATATCTAATATTTTAAATAATTTATATATATATATATATACATAAAAAACTATTATCTTTAAAAAGAAGTATATAAATATTAGTATGCTTTTATTTTTTGATTTTTTATCAACTTTTAATAATACTTCTAAGTTGTTAGGAATTTAAAAAGTATTGGATATGAGTTTAAAAAAAATATCCTAATTTCAACCTTAGTTCAACTATCTATTATAATAGGATCTATTATTTTAAGATCTTAATTATTAATTACAATGGATCGATTGTGGGTATGGCGAGGTCTTATTAGATCATTATTGTTATCCTTGTAGACCGTAGGTTGATAATGATTCAGTTAGGTATTAGATATTTTTCAATACTTAATATCCTTACCAAATCTTGGTTTGTTTTAAAATTAATTTTTAATTGAATATTTTATTCAAATTAAAGTATTAATATTGGATATCAAAAAAATTATCTTTCTTTTATTTCAATTCATCTTTTTAGTTTTGAGATGTCTATTTGATTGCTAATTAAATCCAATTTTGAATCTAGATCTATATTATGTGTCAATATTGATTCAACTATATTGTTGTAGAATTCTATTATAATTGCTAAAACTCTTTATTCTACTTCTTGAATAGAGAGACAATAAGATCTTTGTTTGGTTAATAATTGGACCTTGCTTTGCAAAGTGAATTTCTTAAATTAATATCATCCAATTACCATGAGTGGTGATAGATGACAAACCAGTGAGATTTTTATAGAATATTTTTGGTGCATGAAAAAATTATGTTTTGCTTAGGATTTTTAGAATTTTTAATGGTGGTTGTGCATGCAATTCTTGTTGCAATATTATATGTGCAATTGTGTTTAACAATATTAATTTAATCAATTTATTATTCTTTTAAAATACGAGAGGCATTTTAAGTTTTGTTTGTTTTGAGGATTGAATTTAATGATTTAATTTTTTTTTGTCTTAGTCTATTTTACTTCACTAGAGCTTAACAATGTTTAAATCCATGACTTATTTTTAAACAATATTTGCATATAACTATGAAAGAAGACTATTATTTGTATTTATATATATATCTATATATACATAAAAGATTCGTACTTGTCGTCAAATAATATTGGATGTGAACGAATTAAAGTTTGGTATGCATTATAGCTGAAAGAGTGCCAATGATAGCTTGGTACCAACAATATTCAACAATAAAATACTTGTACAAGAATAACAATAAACAAATAAATAAAGTTACAAAACTAACTACAAAAACAAAAAAACCTGAAAGTGTCAAGATCTTGTACTAGAATAGGAATAGAATCCAAAGTATTGTAACAATAACTAAATAAGAAATTAAATATGGGAATGGAAAAGTAAGAGGCATCTTGGAGCAAAGTGCAATGAATCCAATCCAATCCAATCCTTGCTCTCTCTCTCTCTCTCTCTCTCTTACTACTTAAGAGTGGAGGCTACGTCAAAGCTACATTGAAGGAGTCATAAAGTATTCTATAAATGGGAAATTCGCCTGGCGTGAAAGAATGTGGGGATATAAACAAAGAGCAATACACATGAACATCAAGACAAGATCCCCCCTGGGAACCCAGATTCTGTGCTCTTGTTCCCTTCATGGGGAACTGCTACTCACTCACTCACTCACAGGCTTTCATTGGAACAACAAACAGGACGACGACCAGGACCCTTCCCCCGTCCAATTTGGTGCTGGGATCACAGATGGATGCTTTATTATGGATGGATGCATTCGTTCCGGCTTTGTCCTCCCAGGTCCTTCTCGGGGCTTCCACAAGGATCCTCCTCGTCCTGACGAGGAATAGGAGGAAGCATGGAAGACGACGCGCTGCTTACACACAACCGAACCCACAAAATATCTTCTTCTCCACATCAGTTTGCTCAAAGCCCCATGGACGTTATTTGAAACCGTTGCCACGGCAGCAGCCACGTTCATCAACAAGAAGAAACACGGGCCACATCATGCTGCGCCGAAGTAGCAAGGTCGAATTTTGATGGGAATATTAGAATTTTGCAATCGAATTGGAGCTAAAACATATTGGACTCGTTGCAGTGGTAAGGCGAAATTCATCCAAAACACTGGATGAAACATAATAAAGAAAAAGGTGAAAACAACCAAATAAAGGACAAAGAAGGAGAAAGGAAGAGAAGCAGTGTGAACGAGGAGGGACGAGAGAGAACCCAGGCCAAGTTGGCATTCGGGACAAGGCATCTTTGAGCGTTGTTCCCAATGGGCTGGCTGACTGGGCAGGCTCAGAAACAACAAGGCTACTTGGAGATCCTGTGGCCGCTTTACGTGATATTATTATTAATCCGAACAGGGGCAGAGACAGAGCCCGCGGTTAGTTGGAAATTGAACCGTGGTTAGCCGAATTAAACCGCAGCAGCAGGAGCAATTGGGATTCAGGGTCTTGCAGTCTTCTGTGTTGCGCGGCTCTCCTGCATTCCTGTTTCGCTCGGCTATTTCGCCGCTGTTGTTGCTCCTCTCCGGATCTGGTAGGCTCTGGAGTGTAGATTATCGAACTAGGTATCTGTCGACACGAAGAACAGCTAATTTGACGTAGTTTGCGAGTAGCTGTTGAGCTTTGAAGGGCAGGGAAGTGGTTGTAGGAAGAGGCGGAGGTGCAATGGCTGCAGCGTTGTGCATAGGGCAGGCGGCGGCGGCGGCGGCGGTGGCAGCGTCGGCAATGCCGAGTGTCGGTTATGAGCATCGTCCTGATGCCTCAGGAGGTGCGGCGTCTGGGAAATCCGGACTCGGAGGTGGTGACAAAACCCCGTTGAACATAGCAAGCAAGGGTTTCTTTTGCCCTCCTTGCATCACTCGGTTCCCACCAAACTTTGTGCGTCAGTCCAGTATTAAGGCGCGCCGCAACTGTAGCAACATTGGCGTAGCACAGGTTGTAGCTGCCTCTGCCACGGATCGTAGCAATCCCGCTGCAGTTTCGGCGGCGGGGCTGTCATCGTCGGCTCACGCGGAAGTCGTCGACGAGCTTGGTAATGGCAGTGCCGCTGCTCCTACGGGTGCGAATGAGGCTCTCCTGGACTCTCTCATTGCTTCCGACGACACTCTTTCTCGTGAAAAATCTTCTGAGGCCAAGAAATCTAGTCGAAGTAAACCAAGCACGCTTGCTGTCCATGGTGGTGAGGAGCATTTTCTACTTGCAAACCTTGCGGCCTTCTATTATTTTTCATTCTAAGAAAAAAATTAGTGGCCTTTCCTGAGATTTGAAAAGAGTGTCGCACTCGAGATGTGCATAGTGTTGTGATTGCTGCGAATCTCTTGTTTCAGTACATCCCATTATGTGGTTAGTGCCAAGTCAATCCCTGCCGAAGAATGAGCGGAAAATTCGGTTTCTCTACATGATGCTGAAGTGACTACACATTCATGAAGTTCGAAGATCCCCGCGATCTACGTTAGAAATTCACGTCTCTCCTTTGGTAAAACGAGGACTTGAGCACGATCGTTTGTGAGCCAGAGGAGTTTGCCAGTTATTCCTTTGCCTTATGCAAACATCGTCCAATACACCTGGTGCGATTCACTTGACAGTGAATTAGTGTTCCAGTGTACCGTTTCTCCGCATTCATACAACTTATGTGTTTGCGTGTGCGCGCCTTTCAATGACGTGTACGAGTCCAGTGCCGGGTTAAGCAACGATGTTGTGATTCCTCTCAGATTTAGAAATAATGTCCATCTCTATGGGTTTTACAGTTTGGTTCTCTATAGAATTTGGATTTATTGTTTTCACGCTACAGGTTTTCTTTTAAGATTTTGTTGATAATTTTGCAGGCGAAAGAACTAGACGTCCAAAAGTTCAAGACACTCTGACAATTCCAATTTGTCAGACATCTACTTACACGTTTAAGGATACAGCCGAATTGATTGCGTTTCAGGTATCTGATTTGAGCTGTTTGACTGAAAATTGCAGAGGGTTTTTATTGTACACGATGTTCCTTAGTTTACGAGTTTTACAAGTACAGTACAGAAGTGCAATCAGATCTCGGCGGTTAATCAACGTGTCGTGACCAAGCTTGCTTACCTGATTTAGGAAGGAACGTTCACTAGTTTTGAGTATGGACGATATGGTAATCCTACGACTAATGCCGTCGAAGAGAAAATCAGGTTAGTTCTGATGCCCGATGTACAGTTTGTATATTAGAATTTGTGCTATTTAGAGATATCAGGTTTGTTCATTGTGATTCTTTGTGCGGCGTAGTACATTATTTATCTTGATAGCTCTGCTGTAATTAGTGAATATCTCCCCTGATGTCCTACATTGTGGACACGAAATATTCCCAGTTAACAATTCGTCTCTGTTTTCTATCGCTGTGGTAGCGCTTTGGAAGGGGCAGAAGCGACGTTGTTATCTGCTTCAGGCATGTGTGCAGCTACCACTATGCTCCTAGCACTGGTTCCAGCTGGCGGACATATTGTAACTACCACCGATTGTTATCGAAGGACTCGTCAGTTTATCCAGACTGTGCTTCCCAAAATGAGTATCACGGTGAGAATCTTATCGTTAGTTTTACAAATTTGTATTTTTGTTATTATCTTGGCTCAGACTGTTTATCACCTGCAGAGATGAAGACTTTTTAATGCACGAACATATGATACTTGAAATTAGAGAATGGTGTTTCGCGAGTGACAGTCTTTGCCGTTTTTGCTCAGTAAATGTAGCAGTCTCGTGTAGATGAGTAGCACGTGAATTGATCTATCATCTTTCCTGCCGTTTTATCAGACAACTGTGGTTGATCCTGCGGATATCTCTTCTCTTCAGCTTGCACTTGAGCAGAATAATGTAAGTTGCAAGTTCCATGGTTCAGCGCTGCCTGTAATCTTAGTTTCTTATTTCTTAACTGCTTCAAACTTGCATCTGGGAGTTTTTAGACCATAAATTTGATGTCATTTGTAACTAACCGGCTTTATGATGGTGGAAAAGCTACTTATTTTCCGTTTTGCATATATTTTGTTTCCTCCGTAGTGTGTTGCTGATGTTGGTCTTTGCATTACTCAGGTATCAATATTCTTTTCTGAGTCGCCTACAAATCCTTACCTGCGGTGTATCGACGTAGAATTAGTATCCAAACTGTGTCACGAGCATGGGGCTCTTGTTTGCATTGATGGGACTTTTGCGACTCCTGTAAATCAGCAGGTTTTGGCTTTGGGGGCCGACCTTGTACTTCACTCTGCAACAAAGTATCTCGCTGGACACAATGATGTGAGTTAATCACCTTTTATTTTATTTTATTTTATTTTATTTTTTTAATAAATAATCTATTGTTGTGAAAAATGTGCTGTTAAGGACTAAGCTCCCTTATCCGAAAGGAGTGAATGACTGCCTTAACTAGCAATGTGTAAGCATTTTCGTCATTGGGGGGTTTCAATTCTTCCCAAGATTCCTATTGTTTTCGGCGAGTTAATAGGCGGGTTTGCGAATGATGCAGTTTCCTCGTCACATTGTGGAAACACTGAACAATTTTCATCGTAATAATATGCTCGCATGATTTGATTTACTTCCCGCATTTTCTTATGTAGAATTTATTTTTCAGGTTCTGGCAGGGAGTCTCAGTGGGACCAAACAGTGCCTCTCTGCTGTGCGTGCTCTGCATAATATTCTCGGGGGTGTCGTAGACCCAGTAAGAGTTCACAGCTCTTCTTAAAGGATGAGTGTTCTGCTGTTTTGGTATGACGGCTGTGAAATGTGAGATGAAGTGTGCTGGGCTATTTCGATGCATGTTAATGTGTAGTTTTTTACATTTATTTTTCTAGCGTGTCTTGATCGAAGTGCCTGGGTTCTACATCTGTGGCTAGCACAATCTCTGATACCCTTTTCTGTCTCATTGGAACAGAATGCTGCATATCTCATTTTGCGTGGTTTGAAGACTTTGGATCTTCGTGTGAAGCAGCAGAACAGAACTGCACTCCTTCTTGCACAGAAACTAGAAGCCCACCCTAAGGTATACCACTTGAAGTACTCTCAGGATCGGAAAATGTGTTTCTCTTTGTAAGGGATATTTCTAGTTAATTTTTTTCCCCTAGCATTATAGAGACTTGGTGTTCATGGTACCGTCCTTCATTACAGGTGGCACGTGTACATTATCCTGGTTTGGAAAGTCATCCAGAGCATCAGATTGCCAAGCGACAGATGAGCGGGTTTGGCGGTGTTATTAGTTTTGAGGTACTGTCACTCTTTTTCATGTTTTTCGCATCTACGATTTTAGTATTGGCCACTTCACTTTCAATGTCTTGCTATTCAACTCGTCCTTTCATATATGAACTAACACCAGTTCTTTCCCAATCACAGATAAATGGAGATCTGGAGACCACATCAAACTTTATTGATGGGCTCAGAATCCCTTACATTGCACCTTCTCTTGGTGGAGTAGAAAGCCTGGTCGAACAGCCGACTATCATATCTTACTGGTACGTTTTTTTTTCGCCCCCAATATTATCAGCGCGTTGAACGTAAGTATTTCCTGGTCACTGCCTTACAATGTACTGCGCAAATGTATCTGGATTTGCCAATGGTGGCTTCTAGGGTGTGGTCATTCTTTCCCTATGGTTTTCTGCTGACTTCGAATTGTTTCACTTCAACGTATGGTTTTAAGAAATTATTTCTTCCAGAACTACTGAAAAGGTGGTTTCGTGTCGATAAATTTATCTTTTCTGTGGGAGCGGCAATGGCTTTGAATAGCATCTCAGTTTGGTGGTTTTTGCATCCCAGGGACCAAAGCCCAGCGGAGAGGGCACGACTGGGAATCAAGGATAATCTGGTTCGCTTCAGCTGCGGTATCGAGGATTACGAAGACATTCTCAATGATGTTATGCAGTCATTGAACGCCCTCTAGTGCAATTCGCCTTATTTTGTACCTCATAGTCCTCGATCTCTGACCTTGCAATAGCGTGCACGTTGTTCTCATTTTAGAAGATATGTCTTTGTACATCCATGAAATCGCTGTCTCAGCGACGTGTGACGTGTTCGATAAGGGTTTATCTTTCGTGTAAGCTACACGCAAAGCTTTTGTTTCGTTGTTGGGATTTTATATATATTTTTTTGCAGTCGTCTCCAGTACTGCATCGTAATCTGTCATGATTCTTTAAATTATAATGTCTCAAATACAGTAAATTTCTACTTTTGGATAATGCAATTATCTGAAGCCTGAAGAGACATGCCCAGGTGTTTTAGGAAATGCACTCTTGTTCCGCCAGAGTCGACCGAAGTCGGTATTTGAGATTATCAAGGTGATTTCGGACCCTTCCGGAGGCAGTCACGTGAAAGAACTAAAGTATATTTTCCCCACTCAGACTTGCAGCAGCTTTTCAGATTACCGTAGATCACTAATGTAAAAAGTGATAACTTTTGGAGGGGAGGAGAGACCTTATAACTACGACAGTGGTCGTCTTTTCGTAGACGAATGCCAAGAGACGAAGGAGGAAGTTTTGAGAATGGACGATGGCTCCTCAACACGTCTTACAGAAAACTGCTTCAACTGGTTCCGAAAGTTTGTTCTCCTTAGGACGACGGGGATTCCACACGAACCACCAACTGTCGTGCAGAAGAATTCACGGTACATTATAATCAGTCTTATTTTGGATAAACTCTCCTACTTATCCGGATGATGTGGAGGCATTGTATCACCAACTCAAGGAAAGATGCTGTACACTTATTCCTATACACGCAGACGTTAGGCGCAGGTGTATTACTTAAAATGACCAGAAAAGCGACACTAAAATCAGAAAGTTAGCATTCATGAGGATCCTGTTTGTTGAACAATAAAGTACCTTCACGAATTTCACAGGTTGCTAGTGACGAAACCTTCAACAAGGGACACTGTATTTATCTCGTACATCATGAGGTGAGCGACGACGAGTGACATGAACAAAAACGACACTACGAATATGAATACGGGATGGTACTAAATTTGGCACTGACGTCTCTGGGTCAAAATGAATAATCTATGTCAATCACATGTTAACGTTGGTACTGCACCAGGGCCTGATCGAAGCAGAATCATTGCAACGATTTAAGTTTTTTTTTTTTTTTTTTTTTTTTTTTCCCCCTTTCTTTCTTTCAGTTGGGCGTGGGGGAAGCGTGCATCGCATTCGAAAAAGGAATCCGCCGATCGAAGATTCATCGTCACCAGTGCCATCTCGTCAGTGTCGCCAGCTCGCCAGCCATCACTGACCCGCCGTTTCACAGGGTCCCCCGGTCCCCGTTGTTTCCTGGAATGGCCGCCCGGGCGATTTCAGTGATTACTCCTCGCAAGCCAAGCTGGTAAGTATATAAAGCCTCGCTGGGTTACAGAGCATGTATGAGAGTGTGAGGTAGCAGAAATGGCTGGAGGCGTGAGGCAGTATGGCGTCGAAATTCTGGCCTTGGTCCGATTCTGAGCTCCGGGTCTCTTGTGCCTTGGGCTCGAGGAGTCTGTTTTCGGAGATCGGAGGAGGCCGGTCACGTAGATTGAGGTGAGGAGAGGGTCTCCTTTGGTGGTGGGTCAGTCTGCATGGTTGTCTTTCCTGTGGTAGCACTAGGGTTTGCGGTTCGATGTCATGGAGAGGTTGCTAAGAGATAGTGTGGAGAATTCTGCGAAGTCTGCGTCGTTTGGGTCTCTGGCGAATTGGGTTTGTCAGGTTTCATTCGGTTTGGACATTTGGTGTGGGATCTTGTGAAATTGTTGGAAAGTTGTTGTCTATTTGGTTTATGAAGCTAATTATGGTCCATCTGCATCTGCTCAGAGATGTGTTGTAATCTCTTGATTTGTGATTTCTTTCAATTGGACAGGGGTTAATGATCTACTGGCTCTAACCTTCGTCTATTCGTTTCAATTGATAGGAGTTACCACTTCATCCCTTTTCAATCTACGGGTTCCCGAGTAAGGAATCATGGTGGTGAGTTTGTTGGAGTTCTGTGTGCGGAGTGCGATTGACAACTTACAATACCTCTCCGATGTCGGTGAGACCGACATCCAGTTGCTCAAGAGAATTCTGCCGCATTGCAATGCGGACCAGCTTAATCACATTGAAACGTCGACAAAGGTGTGTTTTCGTTTCACATTATTCTCAATCTTGAGTTCCTCTGAATGGTGTTCCGAACATGCACGTGCTCACGTGCTCCCGATGATTTAGGACTCATAATATGCCATCTCGAAGGTCATCAATTTACACTTTCTAAGTTCTGACTTCCCTTTTCCCATAGGGTCGAGATTTGAGCCCTATCACAGATGAACTATGGCGTAAATGTTATGGCCGGAGATTTGGGGAGGATGCTGTGGAAATGGTCAAGGAGCGGATGTCCAGCCGGAAATGTAAATTCAAGTGGAGACAACTGTACCAGGTTAGTTTCCCACTGGGGTTTCCAAGTCTTTTTTTCACAGTCAGATGATTAGTCCTAGGTGGTTTTTATAGGAATACTGGTATCTTTTTTTGGGTTGACTTACAAAGTGGCATCGGAATTATATCAACAAAGATGTCGTGATGGCTAAATTCGTGGGTTGTATTCACTGTTTCGTTCAGGCCAAAGTGAGAGAGCAAGATGAAATTCAGAGGAAGGGTGTTAATCGATTGAGAGAACTGTACAAAGAGCAAAATTCCCGTAAGTTTCGCAGTATCAGATATAGTACTCCCAAATGCTAAATCTAGGTCTTTGTAATTGAACATTGCACAGAGATAATTTCATTTGGAAAGGGTCACGCTTGGATTGTGCATCATTGGTTATTGAGGTAATGAATTGTAGTTTGTTAATGCTGAAGCTTACAATGACTACTCTCTCGTAAACGATGTGAATTTTTCTATTTCCTTAATCCTCACAAATAATAATTCTAATTCATTTGAATCTACTCTCTGTTATTTTCATCGACAACAGAGAAAGAGCGGAAGCAAATTCAGCCGATTGATTTGAAACCACCTGAGAGCAAGCGAGTGAAGAGGACAGGACCTGGAGGTTTGTTACTTCTTATCACTTTTTTGTGCATGTCACTGATTCTATTGTTAATTGGTTTTTATTTGTGATCACATGCTTGAGAGACCCTCATGCGGCTTCTCATAGGGCATCTGTATCCTTGGCAACAGGGAGCTTCAGAGGACCATCTTCAAAGGCCCCTGCAAAGGGTAGACTGATGCAAAAGTCCAGAATGGATTTTGCGAAGAGGTAATTTACTTAGCTGCCGCATTGTCATACGATCCTTTTTGATTGATGAATTCTTGCACATTTGACTTTAAAATGACGATATCCTCCTTTGACTGTAGTGTTTCTTAGTTCCTCTGTACGACCTCGTGAACTTTTCTTTTGAAGATGAAGGCGTAACTGACATTTGTATTGCACCTTTCTCAGTAACGAGGCAGCCAGGCAGGCTTCACTGGCGAAGAATAGATCGAATGTTAATTATGGAATCAATCAACGACCTGGAGGCTCTTCCCGACGCTAATGCCTTCCCCATGTGCAGTAATCAACAAGGGGAGGTGACACATCTTTATATATACACACACGCACTCATTACTTTCCGTGATGTACATGCTCCTGGCTTATCCAGATTTAAGAGGAGTTTATCATCAGGTTTCACCATTCTATAACACTGTATAGCATGTAGTACATAGTCCATTAGCAGTTACTTTCCGTCTTCTCGTCAGGCCGTTTTCATTGTAGACTCTAGCAGACGGTGCCTTCCGAAGGCAGACAGGAAAATCTATAGTTGAGATGCAGTGCCATTATCTTGATGATACAAGAAGTGATTGACATTTCCACAGTTTAGTGTATCTCCATTGTGACCGAATCCACAGAATATCCATGTTGCTCGCAGCTGTCTCCATGTACTATACTGTTGCGTTGTCGCTTTAGTCATCATATGAAGTGTTCAAATTTTTTGACATATCATTGAAACCTCTTCTGTAAATTTGGCTGCGACAATATACAAACATATATTTATGTATATTTATATATATCCTCAACTCAGTCCAGAATGTATAATCCAACTGCATCGTATGTCAACTTCAAAATAGGTTAACATCGCCGAAGGTTCTCTTCCAATACTTTTGCTTTGTCACTGATATACCATCGTTTACGAAAGAGATCCTTCAATACAAGCCCGTTCCCGTGCATACTTTTACAACAAATTAAATGCAATCACTGATGTAAATACATCTGAGTTCATACAACTTCAACGAATGTGCACACATGCACATATATATATATATATATATTCATTTATCTATTCTTGTCATAGATTGTTATAATTTATTTATCTCAAAACCATTGACTATTATGTAGACTGTGGATACAAAATATTCAACAAGAATTGATAGTATTTCTAATACTAATTATTTCAATTTGTAACAATTTTAGTAATTAAATAACTTAAAAAGAAAAAAAAAGAAATATAAATGCTCAACTTTGCAGAGTTTTCAACTATAAAAACTTCTATTTACATTTGCTTTATTACTTATTTATTTTAAAATTTTATTATTTTATGATAGTAGGTAACAAATATGTATATGTATATTGTTGAAATAGCAAAATCATAGTCCATATTTCTCTACTTTTTGGTTTCAAGGTTCATAAGCTGTAGATATGTAACTAGTAATAAAATTAATTTTTAGCATTACACTCAATCTTATCATTTGTTGGAAAATTTTAAATGAGTACTGTCATGAAATAAATAAATAAGTGCATGAAGACTATATTTCTCCAAATATTTGTTAGTAATTATATAATATTTTTTTTTATAATTTTAAGATATTTATTCAAATATAAATGACTTATTATGGAAATCCACCATATATATATATATATATGTATATACACATACATACATATATGCCTCCATTAATCTCTTTTACTAATATTCTTTTCTCACCTAATTATATTTGGTGGAAGAGAGGTTGTTCCTAGGTTCTAACCTCATAGCCTTATTTTTTTTGCATAATTAATGATTAAAAAATTAAAAAATTATAATTAAAGTAAGAAATTTTTAGTCATCATATATTTATTCTATATTTGTATGTCAAGATTATCCAAATATATAGAATATGTCTAAGAGAATATGTCTAAGTAATTGTTTACTTTAATTCTAAATATAACATTAATCTAATAATAAGATTTAAACAACCATAAGAAGAAACTAACTTGACAAAGTGTAGGAAAAGAAAAAAGAGTTGCAAACTTCTAAACATGAGATAACATAGGACTTAAAATTGCATATCTATTTGGATGAAATAGGGTATCAAAAAGGGTTTAAATGAGAGACTTGTTGTTTTGATTTGAAAAAGGTTACAAGAGTGAAGGTGTAGTTGGAGATTTTTTTATATCCAAAAATACAAAGTACAAAAATTATATCTTTGGATTTAATTTTTCGTTTAATTTTTTTGTTGATTTTTTTAGATATAAGGTACAATATGTACATCTTAGATATTGTAATCTAATAATATCTTGGATGAAATAATCTTGGAGTGGCATTTTCTAATTTTGGTGTAAGTTATTCACAAATCTACAAATTTTTACTCAATGATCTCCTACAAAACTCACTAATTTTTAAAATATAAATTCTTTTTTATTCCACAAAATAATAAGGTTATCTAAAACAACCATAACTTTGTAAAGCTCTCACAAAGATATTATCCATTCAAATCACCTAAAACTAACACTCAAAGAAACTCTATCAAGTTTGCTCTCTAATCTTTAAAATAACTTAAACTTGTTGTTAGGCATATAGTTTTTTGCCTTAGAATGTGGTTTCAATCTTGGTTCACAATAAGTCTTCTTTGAGTATTAATATTAGGTTTTTCTAGGTAATTTTTGCTAAAAGCTACTCTTTACTTTCATCTAAATATGCTTATGATATATATATATATATATATATATATATATATATATATATCTACTTTATTTTTTCTTATTTATGGCCTTGCAAAGTAGGCAAAAATCTTTTTTACAAAAAAGTGGCAGTAATAGTAAATGTTTCACTACCTCTCTATTACTTACCTATGTTTTCTAAATTATTTTATATTTCTATGAATTTTTATCTTTTTGAGCTGATATTATTATGACATTCAAAACTTTTGTTTTGTAGTCTCTAATGATCTTAAATTATTATAGAATAGCAAGTTGGTACCAAGAGGTTGGAGATTTAATTCTTAGCTAAAGAATCTCCAAATTTTCTTAAAGAATGGTTAATGCTTATACACAAAAACAATCACTTTCTAATGTTTTAAAAATATCATTATTAATATTCTAAATTTGTCATCTTTAAATTTGAAATTTACAACATGCTCATTTATGTAAATGATATTGGATAAATGAGACATATTACCCATGAAGTTGTGTTGTTAGAGGAAGGTTTAGGATTTGTAATTGAAGGCACTTAGATTCAAAGACATAAGTTTGAAAGTTTTAGGAGATGGGTTTTAGGGTTTGGCCAGAAATATGTTTGAACAGAGTTTGTGGATTTTATTTTTTTTATTTTTTATTTTTTTTGGTGTGGATATTATGTTTAGGTGAAGCTCAAGAATTTGTAATTTTTTTGTATATGTAATTCAAAAAATTTACATTAATTTCTGAAGGAGAGGATAAAGAGCTTGTACAAGAATGAAAGAGGTTGATGTTGCATAAAACTACTTATTGAGACTATTGAAAATAGTAAGAAATAATATTTCAAAAATTTTCATCATTTTATTTATGTTTGTTGAATTAAAAATTTAACATTACAGAATAATTAAGTAATTTTTTCACAAAAATATAAAAATAATTTTAGGAATAAATATATTTAATTAATTTCATCTTACATCTTTTTATGAAGATTGAACAATAACAAACTTTGAAGAGAGTATTTTTGTTCTTATAGAAAGTGATTGAATTACACTTATGTTGAAACCCATGGAAAAAAAATCATATCTTTATCAAGTAATATACAATCAATCTATTTTTGGACTACCATTAGATTCATTCATTCTGTACGACATGCATTCCAAGCAAGCATGCACAAGAGCACTTTTTTCAAAGTATTAAATGCATGATGTTTAGAAATATGACTTAGAATAATTAATTGAATTTTTTTTCCTTGTAATTTAGAAAATCTTTAAACATGAAACTACTAAATTTTGTATAAGCTCAATTTCCTATCATGATTTGTGTCATGACACATAGAAATTGATATATATATATATATATATATATTTATATATAACTATATGACATTTACTATAATGGAAATTAAATTCCAGATTTCATTACTGGAGTATATGAATTACTACCAAGATGGCCACATTAGAAACTCTTTCAGAAAAAAAATGGGGAAGTGCCAATAACATGGCTATGAATTGGATAGGTTTGCAAGCTCAAGAACTTCTTAATGACTACTTTGAAAGCAATTTGTAAGATTTAAAATCGTTTTGCTATCCTTGACATACAATTTTTTTCATGCTGAAAATTTTAACATTAATTTTTTTTTGGTACTATGTTCTAATTTGATTTGTGGAGGGTTCATACTAACTAAAAATTTCATCACTTTCTGTTATAATACAATACAGTTTTGTTTGATTTCTTTTGTTTTTGTTTTTTTTTACTTTATTATCTTGGGTAATATACAGAGAAGCAGAAAAAAGAAGACTATTAGAGTACAACGCCTGTATCAAAATTCAAGTGCACACATAATCAATAATACGTGTTTATATTATTAATGAAATTTTATTCAGAGTTTCAAAAAGATTCAGTTCCCAAAAGAAAAGCAATAAAATTATTTTAGCGAATTGATTTGCTGAGTCGGTCTTTAAATTTACTTCATATCTTCAGAATAATATGAGTATAGAATGTATCATAATGTGTTTATTTAACTTTTGGTATTTATAGGTAGCTACTCGTAGATTTTTAGCTCAACAATTAATGAGACTTTGGCATGAGAGTGCAAAAATAATTCAACGCATTTATAGAGGTCACCTTGGTCGAGAACACTATCATGAATGTGAAAGGAAAAAAGATCATGAATTGCGCATGTCTTACTTCAATTATCATGCAAATTACATTCAAAAATGTTACCATGGTTATTGGAGTCGCAAATATATATGTGACTACTATGCACGGAAAGCATTTATTAAAGCATGTCTTCTTGCGGGAGAACGGATGAAAACATTGTGCACAATGCACTACAAATTACAAATTCAAGGTGAGCAAGAAGAAGCAAAAAGAAAAGTAGATGCTGAAATTCACAAATTCTTCAATGAAAATCATCACAAGGTAATATCAATCATCATAAAATATAATAATGGCAATTGATGGTGATGTAAATCATTCATAAGGTGAGACACAATTAACTTATTAAAAAAAAGGAAAAAAATGTATTGAATTTACTCTCTTTTTTTTTTGTCATTTGAAAATTAAAATCTGACTTGTCCAAATAATGATGTGAATCTTATATATGTCTATGCATATGTGTATATGAGTAAAATGTGTCAACTTGAAAATATGATTATGTATATAAGAGTGATATCAAAGTTTCACAGTAATTTTAAAATTATTTGTATTTCTTTGTTCTTACTTCTATTCAATTTAATTTAATTTAAAAAATATATATTGTATGTGTTTCATTGTTCAGTGTAGCACAAATGTTGTTAAAGGTGCATTTTATTCCCCGTATGTTGCCATATTTGGTGGCGGACATAGCTATCTAGAAGAAAACATACGAGATGCACGTCACCAAGAAGTCATTGGAATGGGACTTGAAAAGTTCAAAAATTTGACCGAAGATGGCATCCCCATCAAACAATCACAAAATGCATTCTTTGTAAAATCAAGCAAAGCCTTGCATAGCCGTATGAGTATAGACACACACCGTCGATTGTTAGAGGCATCACGGAAAGTTCAATCTCCTGGGACTCTTGTAAGACTTGACGGGCATTACAAGTCACGATATACAGAGAGAAGGAAATATGAAAGATGGAAGAGCTTGTTAAATGTTAGCGACAAAAAATTTGACACAGTTGCCAAGAAGAAAAGAACATCATGGAAAGAAACAAGACCCACAATGCGGTGCTCTGAGCATTATGATCAAGCTAAAATGGATCGTAAAGCTGCCGCTATTCAAGAGCTTCAAGACTATCCCATGATGAAAGAGTTCCCTTGGACATCCATAGTTGCTCAAGGGTTCCTCTTTTCAATGTATGAGCCTTTTGCAAAGGTGTTCCCCAAAATGAACAATCATCACCATTGGCCCAAATATTCACTTCGACAATCCATTCATAGAAGTTTGGCACCACCATTGGATACAAACCATGTATATTAGCTTGGAAATTTATATTCTATTTTTTTAGGTGCTATTTTAATAAATACTTTAATAAAATTTATAAATTTTATAAATTCTCATTAATTGGTTACTAAAGATTACCTACAATGAATTTAATATAAAATAAAATAAAATTTTTTTTTTTATTGAATTGATTTTTAATATAAAAATAAAATTTAAATTTAAACTTAAGTGCTATCAAATAATAGTTATCTTTTTCCTAAACTAAATATTCATGATAAAATAAATATTAAAATAATGTGTAAATATTACATATTGTAGTTATTTTCTTATGCCATTTTGAAGATTACAAAAAAGTGTCATATTATTGATTTTTTTAAATTAAAGAATACATAATAACTTGTAAAAGTCCTTCAATTAACACTATTAACTAAATTTCATTTCAAAATAAGCAAAGTAAAATGTTATATTTTATTTTCTTTACTTCTGTATTTTTTTTTATAAAATCTTGGTTATTATCATATTTCTTTATTGACCACATGAGCATATTAAAAATAGTCTCCACAAGTTCATGAGCTTAGCTAATGATCACACCATAATTGATGACTATAATTTGCTAAGATTCGAACCAGAGTTTGACCCTCTTTTAATCAATAAATAAGATGAACAAATCTCGAGTAAGAGTTTTGTGGTGTGAGCTTGTTGATTGAATACACTGAAGTAAAACGTTCTTCACTACAAGAAAAAATCAACTTCATTATTATGATTATTATGATCTCTACTGTTTTAATTCATTTTTAATGTTACTCTCAGAATCAAGCACCCAATTTTCATCGATTCACACCTCCAGTTACCTTCATTCTAGTTCAAAATAAGAAACAAAAGAAAGAAAGAAAAAAGAAGAAAAAATAGTGCAAGACGAGTTGAGTTCTAGTTTTGGGCACAAGCACTGAAGTTGAAGAAAACTGGCAATCTTTTGAAACAAAGAGGTTGTTTCTGCAGATTCAAGTAACTTCAGCTGCTTTGTTTCTGAGGGAGCTTCGCTACATGGATGCTGAGGACTATGACAATGATGAGCATGCAGGGATACCCACATCCTCACAACGGGCTCTCCACATCCTGAAAGTGGTGAACTAGTGCCACATTTCAGCAGCTAGATGCAAAACGGAAGAAGCTCACCGACCTTACATCTCTCAGATCGCACCTGCTTGCCGACTACATCATCGCCGCAAAAGTTCCACACTCGCAGTATCAACTTGAATCCTCCCTTCGAATGCGGCGACGTCACTGAATTGGGTACTTCAAACAACATGCAAAACTGGCACACGACTGCATCCATGACTCCTGCTCTACCGCGACACCGATTCCAGTTGTGGGGACTTGCCTTCTCAACCTCGAAGTAGGATGAGTCAGCCTCTTGTAGCTCGAGTTTTGTAAATCAGAGAATGCACGTTTACAAAGGCACATGGTGGACTGAAGTGCAGTGCAGTGGAGTGGACTGTTTCGAAATGAGAAACTAGCTTTACGTGCAGAACTGGCATGATCAACCTCATCTAGACTCCATCTAGAAAGAGACATCAACATGAACAACATGAAAAACATGAACAAAGACGTGTGTTGAGAATGCTCTTGAGACTGTGGCTGGCATTCAATGCAGTGCTATGCTGTGAACATTCCTTGTATTATTTCATTAAACTGGATGGAGAGGCTCTAGTCACCAAGTCATAAATTTCTTCCAATTAATGTATAAAAAATAATCCTTACATTTAGTTCTCTGAACAAATAGAAAACAAATCGTTTAGAAAGTTTGAGAATTTGAATGAAAAAAATTGTACAAGTTTTCAATAAAACTTCGATACTTCAATATCTCTTTTGAATTTATGGACTTTTTGAATTTTTTTCTATTTTATGGTTATCCTTCGTATTTTTCAAAAGTACTTAAAGAAAATTATTCTTCTAATTAAAAAAAAAATACTGAAATTTTAAGATCTAAGTCTTTCTATGTACACTTTTCAATATTCTATTTAAATATACATACAAGATGTAAGATAAAAATGATATGTGGTATCAATTATACAATTTATATTATAAATAATAATTAGAGTCTTACATGATATAAATTTTATTTACTTGTAATTTCTAAAAAGAGCACTTATAGAAACATAGATTTTCATGAATAAAATTGATTATCAAGGACATGAGTCTTGAAGTACTTAAAGATCAAGACATTCTTGTGTTACTAAAAAACACTAGATAATCACTCAAAGATAATATAATATTAAATTAGAATAGCTATTGCCAAAGATAAAAAGACTAAAAAGTCTTGAAATAAGAATAAAGTCTAGAAAGGGATTGACAAGAGTGAAAAAGGCTTCATTTTTGCTTCTATATGTAGTATCTAATTAGGAGCTATATAACAACGTTTTATAGAACCTCTAATATAAGATAACTTTATTAGACACATGTCTTAACTTATAAGGCAAATTTTTAATATGTGTGCCACACACTTACATTGTTCTATAAGGTACCAACATGTGTGACATGTGGCTAGCTTGTTGAAAAAGTTTCTAACCTATCAATTAACTATAAACAGATATAAAGTCAAAGCAACATCTATAGAGCTTTTAAGAAGCATCTCTAGAAGATATTATGAATTAATCCATTTTTACCTACTTCTATTTAATCATATAGATAATTATTAGATTAAATATATATATATTTGTGATATTAGCTTCTAAAAATAAATTCTATAAGGAACACTCATCATCTTTCATAGATCTTGTTATTATTTATTTTGATTTTGATTTTGTCATAGATATCACAAATGAAAAGTCTCAATTTTTTTTATTGCATTTATAAGATTCTTTGTTGGCTCTAATGTGTATTCATTAGTATCATATCTATGACAATGAACAAGATATTTCAATCTATTTTGGTGCCCCCTTCAATGTAAGACTTCTTCCATTTCAAACTTTTAATTATTATATATTTCTATATGAAGAGGTGGCATTTATCTTCTTCTCAAAATATTCACTATCTTATATGACTCGAGAAGAGACACATTGAATACAAAATGGATCTTTATAGACTTTGATAGATATAATCAATAAGTAATAGGATTGACTTGTTCACAAATAAGAAAAAGTCCAAGCCTACAATAATCCAACTTGTCACAAAAAAAAATAGTCTTGATATTGTGATGAAGCAACCATACCTTATCACTAATGTCAAATTATGGTTATTCTTTGTAATAGGTATCTGCATTGAGCTTTTATCATTCTTGAACTTTCTTTAACTACACCTTCAATGTTTATTAAATATTTTGCTACAAAATTATTAACTTTTAAAAAGTAAAAAGTATCAAGTCATGGATAATAACCACAATTGACAAAGAAAGGTATTTGTTGACTAGAAGACTATATCAAAATATTATAAGCAAACTTTGCAAATAGAAAAAAAATTATCCAATCATCTTAATGATAGTTGATGATACACTTCAAACACTACTCTAGAACTTCATTCATCACTTTTGTTTGCCCATCAGTTTGAAAAAAAAATGTTGAAGATAGTTTTATATCTACTCTTAATATCTTAAAAAAGGTTTTCTAAAATCTTAATATAAATTATATTTCTATATTTGATATAATATCCTTTGACAATCCATGATAGTCATAGATATTGTTAAAAAAAAGCTTAGTTTTTTCTTTACTTGAAATAGATTTTTTACATGATACAAAATATGTCATTTTGATGAAACAATCTGTGATCACAAATATAGAGTCATATGAACTTGAACTTAGAAGATCCATTATAAAATCCATAGATATAGAAGTTTATGATTATTTTAGTGTATGCAATGGTTGGAGAAGTCTATAGGATTAATAACAAGGAGTTTTTGATCTTTAACAAACATCATATGAAAATAGAAAGTCTTTCATAGCCTTTCACATTTGTGGCCACCAAAAATATCTAGATATAAGCTCCAAAATCTTCTTGTATTCAAAATATCTGATTGTTAGAAAGTTATAATATGCTTGAAGGACATGTTATCATGTTTCTTCTTTTGAAATATATAAGAGACCTTTGAAATAGAATAAGTTATTTTTAAACTTGAACTTGGAAGTATTATTAGATTTAAAAGAAATATTCTTAATATTATAAATAAAAAAATTAGAAGACATATTTGATTGAATTTTCTTGACAAAAATTGAATCAATAGTCAATGTTGATTTTATAGCTTAAAGATGAAATTGCTTAGGCTTTAAGACAACCATTCTTTATTAATCAAAAACTAGATTTCTTTCTTTTAGTACAAGATAAGAATATTTAGAAAGTGTATTTGATAAATCTTATTTTTAAGGTTGATACATGATCTTAAAATCAAATCTTAATAATAACATGCTTCAAACATAAAGTTCATATTCTTTTATATTCTTAGAGAAGATTAGAATATCATTTAAATAGCAAACAATAAAATCATGAAAAAACTCACAAAAAATATCATTCATGAGATGTTGAAAAGAGGTTGGTGTCTTTGTGAATCCAAAAGGCATGACATTATATTTGAAATATTCATACCTAATTCAAAAAGTAGTCTTTTATTTATTTCTTTTTTTAATGTCAATTAAGTTATATACTCTTTATAGATCTATTTTTGTATAGATCTTTGCTTGATTGAGTTGGTCAAGAAGTTCTACAATCAAAGGAAGAGAATACCTATTCTTAAAAGTGATCTTATTAAGTCTTGAATAGTCTACATACATTTGCAAAGATCCATTCTTTTTCTTCATAAATAAGATAGGAGCTCTTATTAGAAATTTTGAATGGCATATGAAGTTCTTAGCCAAATTCTTGTCAATGTGCTCTTTTAATATAGCCAACTCATTTTTTCATAAGTTGTAGATTGGTCCAAATGATAGTTGAGCTTCTTCTTGCAAATCAATTAAATAATCATAGGATTGATGCTTTGGAAGAATATTTGTATTCTTTTTTAAAAAACATTTTCAAAATCTTAATATTGGTTAAGAATACTACTTAACATCTTTCCACTATTAGAAATAGAAGTAGCATATATAACAAAAGATAACACTTCTTTTGCCTCATGCATATAAGATCTTGTACCTATTATTAAGGATTTGGATGTACTAAACTTATATATTTTTACTTGAATAACAAAATTTTATATTAAATTATAAGAAAAATTAAGATTGTAAGAAATTTAATCTACTTAAGGATTATATATTTTTAAATATGATAATCTTAAAATAGTTAAATTAGAAGAAAATTTTATCACATTAAATATTATTATGCTATTATAATCTTTTATTGTTGCATCTAAAAAAATAGTTACATGAGTAACATTTTCAAAAGATAATAAACAACCATTTATAACTTTTATATATATATATATATATATATATATATATTTTTTTTTTAATTAACAATATTTTTTATTTTAGACAAAATTTTTATCTATAAGAAAAAAACTAAGACTCTTGAATCTTATAAAATAAAGATTATATGATTTTAGGTCCTAAATAAATTTCTCTTATAAAATACAATAAGAGATTTGAGAAGAAATAAGACCTTTATTAGATGTTATACAAGATTTCAACTATATGATTTTTATTGTAATTGAAAAAAATTATTTTTTGACACATCATCTTTTTTAGCAACCATACTCCTCATTTTGTAATTGTGTTTTTTTTTTGGACAATATTAAGCAATGTACTTGGATTCTCCATAATATAAGCATAAACCTTCTTAATAAGAAGAAATCTTTTCTTGCTCAAAAAGATATTTAAAATATACTTTGTCAATTTGTATATGCTTTGGCTTACAGAAGTAAGCATCCAAAAATTTAGAAGATGTTGCCATAGCTTGATTTATATTTCTTCAATCAAATCTTTGTTCTTATAATCTTTCAAAGAGTCAGTTGTTATATGCAATGGCTTAAGCAATATAAAGTTTTATTTTTAATAATTGTACAAAATATTGAGATGTTATTTATTTAAATCTGAATTTGATGGTGTAAATTGAAGTCATACGGAAAATAAATAAATAATATCTCAATAATGCACTTTCAAGCAACATCTAACAACAATACAGATAAAAGATACCTCTCTCCACGAACAAATTATCCAATTTTAACAACAAGTTGACCCTCTCTAATCCAACAACACATCAATTCAATCTCACCTTCATTTCCTTCTTAAAAAAGTCATTACACTCATCAATACACATCCAACACAAACCTTTTGTAACTATTTTTTTAAAAAAAATAAGAAATCATCAACCCAATTTTAAAAAGATACCTATAACATTACCACACAAAAAAAAAAAAAAATGATTTCTATCCAACAATGTCAACCCATAAACAACCCAAAAACTACCCAATGAACAAAAACCTTCACACAAAGACACACGTACTCAAATCAATGCAATAGTACACATGAAGTATCATATGATAATGGAGAGTATTAAACCAAAACATGAATCCCAATTAATTGTGGTAAATTAAGTTAAAGCAGACACGGAATGAGCGTCGGTGAGGGAATCGATGGCGCCGAGAGGATAGAAATCAGATCCCGGAGCGAAGAATTCGACGCCGTCGCGATGAATTACACGCGCGGAATCGGGCTTTTCGACTCGCATTAACTGAGCAGAGTTTGTCGGTGATGGAGCTTGGATTGGCAATCCAAATGCGAGCGGGCACGAGAGGATCGCGGCGGCGCTAATTCCCCGACTTGTCCCGAGAGCGTCGCAATGAATTCAGGTCTTCGAGACCCACTTGTCCCGGTGATCTGGGCTGCTTTCGAGCTGTACCGATCGCGAAACGGTGAGACCAAGCCTTGCCGCAAAACTTCTATCTCGGATTCTAGCTTCATGGAATTATCGCACTGTGCAGATTCAGGCGCGTGTGGTCAGGGAGGTCGACGTTCTCACCTCGGTTATGTCGACGCGATTCATGGGGGTGGGGGATTTAAGAACAATCTTTAGCATTGGCACTATCGTCAGGTTTTGCGTCCAGTGCCAGTTTCTGCTGTTACACGACCCAGCGGCTACTTCACTGCTTGGAATTCGTGTAGTGTGCGTCGATTCTCGTGTGGTTTACGTCATTCCTGGTTGGGTCTTGATTGAACCCGCCCCGGTGGTGGTGGTGGTGGTGCCAAGACCAGTGAATCTGGCTGCGAGTGAATTGGCGTGGTGGAGTAAGAGTCTACTTGACGTTGAGTAGAATGTACCCCTTTGCGCACAGTTTGCTCAACTCTGTTGCATTTCACTTTCAGTGTTCGTAGACCATTTCCTGAGTAACCGAAGGGAGATGTTTTTGGATTGTTGATAGTGTTGAGAGATAACGGTGGCCCAGGGATTTGTAGCGGCGCTTACCTTCCGACCCTTCTTCTCTATCGCCCTCTCCTTCTGGCGCCTTTGGTTTTCCTCTCACTCTAATGTCGGAGCCTGCCGGTGAAATTCCATGCAATAGTTTGCCACGGTACCGAGGTTTACCCTCGTAACGGCGATTGAAAAAACTGAGATCGAAGAAACCTTTTCTAGTGAAGCAATCACTGATCGGAGGAGACAAGGTGGGCGAAGAGAGGAGCGGCGAGTGATGAGGCCAGGGTGGAATTTCCTGCAATGGTTCGCGGGCGCAGTGTACAGACGACTTGTAATGTGGATTGAGAACTGTTTGAGCTCCGCCATCATCGTCGCCGATGCTCTCCGTGAGAGTGACGTCGAGCTTCTTCGCATCGCTTGAACCTCGCCGCAACAGACGTGCAGTGAATGCGATGTTAATCTAGGTTTCTCATGCATCAACAACAACCCACAGATGGATTCCCTTCGTCATGAATCAGCAACATCCCCGGGCCTCCTGCGCCGCCATCCTCCGCAGTTCATGCCATTTCCTCACTTATTTTATTCTTACTTTTGCCCATTTTTCCCACTGTTTAAACCCTAAAATTATCACCTTGGACGTGAGATTTTGGGTACCCTAATGGAGGAGTTGAACTTCGTCGACATCTCCGCGTTTTCTCACGTTCTGAATTAGTTGTTAGAAATGTTTTTTCTAATTTATATTTTTTTATATTTTTTTTATTGATTTATGAAATGGAATCGCTGGTCAGTGCAATTGCCTGAAACGTAGGGCTATTCGATGAGGAAGCCAAAGTGTGGTTTTGTCTTGTCTCAAATAGAGCCATTGCTTTTGTTTCACTTTGTTGGGACGAATTTTTCAAGTTCCATCATTTTTATTATTTTTTTCTATTTTGGAAAAACCATATCCATTGTACTTTTTATGGAACAAAATTGAATTGAAGATGATTTTTTGTTACGAATTGTGCTTAGATATTATCTATTGGGTGTTAACCACTGGCCGATGAAGTAAAATTTGAAAACAAAATGAAGATACAAAATGAGGTTAATTTATTTGATATTAGGTTTTTTGAAATCAGATAGTTATCTAAAATTATATATATATAATTTAAATACAAGATTTGAAAATATATTTTTGAAGTCCAAAAATCCAAAGTTTTTATAGCATAATCATTGAACTAGTTGTTTTAAAAAGAATCAATGTCAGTAAATTCATGAAAAAGGGATGCAAGTATAACTTTGTATTTTCACCAAAGTTTACTCTAAACTATAACGTAAATCCAAATGAAAAATAAAATAAAATAAAACAAAACAAAACAAAAAATCAAAAGTATTTTTTTTAATGTGAATTAAATATTTACACGTACTTTTTTGCTAAATATAAAATAAAATTCATGCTCCTGCTCAAAGATATTTCATTTGTGACAGTATATTAATTAGAGTGAAGAATCAATCAGCATATTTGGTAAGTGGTCATTACTACTTCTAAAATTATACTGTATCAGATATCAATTTATTGCTATTTAATAACATAAATCAATTTTTGAATGGTTTAAATTTTAGTTTCTTTGAATTGAACTTTTTTTAATATGAGGTCAATATGATTATTTTTTATTCTAATTAATTTTTAATTTTGATTGGATTCTAAAATATATTTTATAGACATAAAAGGACGTGCTTTATAGATTTTATTTCAAACAAATGTATATATATGTAGAGAGAGAGAGAGAGAGAATTGTTAATGTTGCATCTCCAATTGATATTGCTCCACCCCACGGGACCTCTTTGTAGACAACTAGCTCATAATACACCTCTTTCTTTTTGTGCATTTTTTCCTTTCTTTGCTTTAAAAAAGGGTGGTGGTTAAAAGGAAGAAATGTTAAGAAATATTAAGAAATATTAAGCTGCCAAATGTGCCTTGAGCATAGAAGTGTGTGCTTTAGTTAATTTAAGTCATGTAAAGGTCACATGAGGTGTAGCAATATCAATTAGGGATGTAGTGTTAACAATTCTCTCTTTCTCTCTCTTTATTTCCATATTTATTATGTATAATGAAACAAATAAAATATCATAAGAAGCATTAAAACAATTTAATTAAATTTAGGCAAAGGTCTACAACAATAACCAAGTACAAGTCCAATCACTGTGGGAAATCACCTAAGTCCAGAATTATAAAATAACAAGAGCTATGTGATAACTCTGGGTTTTGTCAGAAGTACAAAGAGCAGACATTACATCTCTGAACTAAATTGTTCAGGTTTTGCAGGGCAAGTGCACCAATCTTCAATAGACATGACTAAAGTTTGACAATTTTCATGAGGATTGGTTTCCCTCTCTTCAAAGAATTTCAAGCAATAAAGCAGCAGGAATAAGGAACTCTTTTGCCATGGGGACAGATGTTGTCATTCCCATGGCACAAGAAAACACGAAATGCAAACAATAACGTTGAAGAGGGCCTCTGCCACATGTCCATTACAGAACAATTGCCTCCACACATCCAAGATTGAGTAATATATTCTCCAAATATAATGGTTGAAGAGGTAGCTCATTGTTTAGGTCATTCTTCATCAACACATAACCTCAGAAGCTAATGGGTTAGATCAATAGGACATGGACTTGCTGGGACCAGGACAACTGCACCAGTAGGCTAACTATCACTCAATGCAAGCTTAATATTTCCATGGTATTTTTTCAGTATGCAGTTCAATATTAGACATCAAGAGGTGCAGGATTGATAACAGTGGTTTGCATGAAATGCATAATCTATAATTTTCCTGGGACTACAAGAAACGTCTGATCCATGTGTTCCCAGCATTTTGTACAAATGTCAGAGCTCTACCACAGCTGGAAATTGCAGTGAAGCTCATTGTATATTACACAATGTGGTTGTTAAGCCTCTGAGTAGCTGAAAAGGACTCACTATCTAACGTACGGCTTGTAATTTTACACTCAACCCAATCCACATCGCTAACTGCAAGACATCAGGCCTTGAGTTTCGCTCGCTTTGGCCTGCTCCTCTTTGTATGACTGTTTGACATTTATACGTTCTGAGAGCAGAAACTTAAAGCGTACAGGTAGCAGACCTTTAATCTTACAGTTCTATCCTCGGGTTTTCATGATGGTAATAGTACCATTGCCTTCAGTATGAATCTTGGTGCATTCCACCACAGCCTTTCCTGAAAGTCCTAATCCAGACTGAGTCGAGGATTTGTGATCTTCTCTTAAACCCTGACGGCGAGATGCCCTAGTAGACGGACTCTTGATTCGCCGATTGATGTCACTTAAAGTAACATCGCCATGAGCACTATTCGGTTTCAGTAAATTAAACGGGTACGCTACAGGAGTAGCTTTAACTCGAAACCTTGTAAGCGGGCTGGGTCTCCATCCTGCAAGACGCCAATGCAACATGCTCAGCAATAGGAAAGAGAACTATCACAAAAGCTTCGCCATAAACTTCCGAGGTATCAACTAGTTGCTTGAGTGGAGGAAGTACCGGGAGTAGATCCCTTGGAGAACGGTGTTAGAGGCCCTTGTAACACTTCTCCTTCGGACGATGGTGAAGACTGCACGGATGAACCTGCAGGCGATACACAGAATAGCTTCAATCTCTCCGCCCCAAGTCCTAACATGACAAGCTAGCTGTACTAATGTCACCACACTCAAGTAATTCGGGACATCATGAGCATTACCTTCGGTATTACTGGCGTCTTGCACTGTAACCATTCTGAAACACACAATAGAGCACAAGGAATGTTCAGCAATGCGATCTTTGTCCAATGTTAAGAGCACTTATAATGGTCAGAGTCGATACAGTCAGCCAAGGAAGAATGTACTTGCATGCATTAAGGCAAGTCGTCACATGAACTTTGCGAGGGCTTTGTCACCTACTCTTTCTGAGGTGAACTGTAGGCCTCCTTATGTCCTAAGCACTTCGATAGCCATTTGTCATCAGTAACCTTTCCACATTCTGAAACTGCAGTGAGAGGCATAGGTGGCAAAAACATGAGCAATAGATCCATAGATTGTGCACAACTCACTACAAAACCTTCACTTCCAACCACAGATGCTGAGCTTCATGTACATACCATCTTTGGAGTACCAAATATCACTAGGCGATGAGGGAACTGGCATCAGAAACTCGTCAGCTTCAGAAACCAGTGAATTCACGCACGTCTGCAGCAGCACCCACAGAAACCATAACTTAAGCAGGCCAGGCCACTGAAGACAACATGCTGGAAGATCGGGAGGCAGGAAAGCATTAGGGACATACCACAAAGGGTGAGTTGTTCACAGAGGTAGATTCGAAAGCCGGTGAAGAAGCAGGGATACATTCCTCGCCAGAACTAGAGAACTGCAACATTCGTCGCCTCTTCAGTCGCCCACAATTTTCCGCAGCCGAACTGGTAGGACTAGCATTGTCACTTTCTGTTGGCAAAAAGTCAACAGTCAGTACAAATGGGCACAAATGTTCCACTTCGGTACGACTTAGCATGAGGCACTAGCAGGTGACTCAACTGGAAGAATGTATGTTGCATATGAACAGCAGCCCAGGAAGTTTCCATAAACTAAGTAAACTTGTATTGTTAGCACCAAAGCCAATGTTGTGTTGAGGTAAAATAGTGGATACTTTGACTACGTAGAGAGAAATAGGATGGACTTGATTCCCTTTCCCTCACAATTGGCGGTGTCGCGGCGAATATCTCTTCATCATTTTGAGTCAAATCATCCCAGAAGGACTTGACGATAGCTGTAATACACGAACAACCTAGTCTCAGAAAAATTTCTACCACTAACTCCTTACAGCCGACACATGCCTGAAAGCATAGGCCTGAATTTATTTGATGTTTCAATGCTCAGAATATGCAGTTATGCAGTAGAAATAGCATCTCATACACGATAAACATTTTCCTGCGAGTAAATATGCAATCACCTATATCAGATTCTGAATCCATCTTGAACGAGTCATCTCGCCAAAGCCAAGAATCGGTGTCGTCTCGCACAATTTCCTGATCATCGATGGCAACGAGCTCATCGAATGCTGCGTTTTCCATTCTTATAAGTGAAATGCTGAAAATTTCGTGCTCCTCCTTCCAACTTGGATTTCGCCGAGATCCAATCTTGCGAGAAGACGTAAGCGGAGCTGCAAAAGAATCAATCGATATTGGGTTACAGACTTTTCGAACATCAAAGAACACAAGAGGTGAAGTCGATTTAACAGAAGGTCTGCTCTAGTTGAAATAGAACGAATACGTGGAGGCAGAACCCTAGTGGTTACCCTTGAGCAGCAATCTCGATTCCGTCAGACAGTTCACAGATTAGCAAGCTCCAATACAGTGCCTATGCGATATATACGAGCTCCCAAAGAATTTAATAAATGACGGCCGTCCAAACCCTCTAAGCAGCTAACTCCTCACGTCGAACACTGTTTTGAGTTTCCGCAGGATGTTGCATCCGCAGTACTGTGCACCACCTACATGCATAATGATTGTAGATAGCCTCTCACAAGAGGCATGAGCATCAACATTCTGCAAGAAGTTGATGCGACGATAAGACCTAAGCAGCACCTCTGAAGCTTCAGCAACAAATATGCATGTCCTCGAAGGACGGGAACATTGAGAGAGCCTGACGGCACTGGAAATGTGGCCACTCGACAGCACGATTAAGAATAAAAACTAAGAAAAATAGGGGCAAGAAAAGAGTTAAAAAATCCTGAGTCCAATATCTTAGTGGACAAACCATAGAAGTGATAATAGCGGATCGATCAAGCTCTCGTCAACCGTCGGCGAACACGCGAATGCTGCTACATCGCTGCTGAACAAGAATGAGCAAGACAAGAAAACCCACACCATTCATCGAACTACATATGATTCAACCCCGGATTTTCTCTCAACCGCCAATTAGAAATAACGACGGCCAGGACCGTGAAGGTTGACATTAGAGACGACGTAAAAAGTCCCACCAGCCATCATCGAGAGCCACAAATACAAACAAACAGAGCCGCCGAGAAGAACAACCCCACGAGCGACATATAACCTTCGAAAAGTATTCTGTCGGTCAAATTACTAAACGACCTCACATGTGACCTCGTCTAGGAACCAAAACCGTGGGCGAGAAGTGAAAATTTTCAACGGCAACAACTAGAATTGCAGGTAAGCAGGATGTCACTCGGCAAGGCGTTTCAGTCACTTCACACAAGCATTGACGGTAATCCAATTCGAAAGCAACGAAACATCCTTCGCACGCTAATCTTAAAACGCACTACACACAGAATCAATCAGAACATGCCGAGAAACACTCCCCTCCACGCAGCACATCACTCCTCAAACACCATTATGCCACAAATCTCTACTGAACTACAATAACAACAACCGACCTTCGCAGCGGCCCTCACACAAGCACCATCGTCATCACTTTCCAATGCATCACCTCCTCAACTCAACTTCGAGGTCCGCTTCCACGTTCATCAAAACACAACAACGCAGGACTTGGTCTAAAGCCACTCGACACACACAAACACCACGATGGCCTCCGCTCACCACTCCCAACCCTCTCATTCAGAAGGCTCTAACAATCACAACTCCGGGCGATACACAACTCGCAACCATGAGATCGGAAGCTAACATAGACTACCTCGAAGTGCACACGACTCAACTATCACCAGCGGTGGAATGCATCGCTCACATCGGCTGCCGCAATGCAACCACTGCTCAAAAACAGAGCTTCTTCTCTCCACTCCCGGGGGCCTACTTCAGTGGACATTCAAAGGAACGGGAAAGATGACGAGCCAGATCACGGGCCGGGCCAGACTGATGCCCCCATGCGAACCCCGTCACCCCCACGCCATCTCAGCACGCAGCTATAATCCCGCGCTTTTATGTTATCCGCTCTACCCGAATTCTCCCGCGGTTAAACCCCCTATATGCCAAAAGGAAAACTACGGGCGCCTCTCCCGCCATTAGGACCCAGCGGGACACAGTCTGATTGGCAGATCCGGGTGGCGCGTTCCCAATAACGCATCCAGTTGCAATGAGGTCTTTCCGGGTTGCACTAATGGGAACAGTTCCCGCGAATAGCTTGATACTTTAGTGGCAGCGATGCAGTTTCCTGTGGCGCCATGTCTTACTAAATTTGATGTGATTGTTGGCCTACATGTGTGGGAAAAGGAGCCTCCCACTCCAGCTTGGCCTCTTTGTCTTTACCGCTGCTACCTGGTGCCCTCCTCCTCAGTAAGTAAGTTCATGCCCCTCCCTGCCTTCACTTACTGGTAATTTCTTCCTCTACAGGAGGACTCTAACAACCAGGGTCTTCTCTAGTTAGGTGGAATATCCATGCAGATTCTTACCCCACGGCTCAGTAAAAGTATTGTGAGATGATAAAAGTCGAATAGGAAAGGGGGAAAAAGTCTGAGTGTGATATAGAGAAAGAAAGTGGTTTCTACCTTGAATGTGAGTGTGAGGTTGGGTCATATTTTCACAGCCCAAGCTTGCTCTGTATGGATGGAGCTTGGAGCGACACACAAGGCACGTCCCCTGCAAACACTCACATAAGTGTGAGACTCTTTCAGTATTGCAATTCAATGATATGTGTTGTGTGTATCATGTGGCTGTTTGGGGGACGTGTTCCCCATGGTACCCAATCCACCACACAACTGTGTGACCCTTTTGAATGGGTGGTGGATGGGAACAAGAACTTGGGGAACTCATGACATTGATTCTATTTGCAAGTGTTTGTTTGTTTGTTTTCTTTTCCTTTCTGGAATTTACTACACAATAATGACATGCATATATATATATATATATATTTTTATTTTTATTTTTATTTTTTATTTTTTTTCTTATTCATGTATATTGTGTAAGTAAGATTTATTTTCTATAATATTTGATGTGGTTTTTTATTTTATAAATTGTGATAGAATCTTATTTCAATCTAGTTCGTTTTGTATTTGGTTACGTACATTTACATTTAATTATAATGCATTGAATCAAAGCTTAAAGATTAAATAATATGGATGACCATTTTGACATCAAACAACCATAATCATTATCTAATATACATGTTTTATTGAGAAATACTTTAATATCATTACTTTAACAAAAAAAATAATTAAGTTATAAATTTATAAATTTATATTAAATAAATAAAAATAAAAATCTACAACATCTATTTTTTATCTATTAGAAATAAAATCTTCTCTAGCAAAAGATTAAATTGTGGATTATAACATGAAATGGTTCTAAACTAATTAAATTTTAAGAATTATCTAACATAGATTAAGATGCTCTTATAAGTAGTATTTGTAAGACCTCTAAATAAATTTAGTAATATTCAAAAAGAGTGAAGTACATGATATATTTTTCTAATAGTATAAAAACCATATTAAATTTTTTTAAGCTCTTTATTATTTTATTTAAAATTTTAAATAATTTATAAATATTTCTATATTACAAAAACAATCAAACTCCAAATAGAGTCATGACCTTATTTATATTAAATTTTTTTGGATATTTTATGATTTGGTTGTAGCTATTATTGATGGATAAAAAAATGCTATTGTAAATTTATTATTATTATTATTATTATTATTTTTACTTTAACATTTGACTTTTATTGTTTATTATAAAGAGATTATTTTTAAAATGTTGCTAATGCCACATGAACTTGCCATCCACAACATACTATTATAATTTTTGATATCCACCACATATCATCATAGTTTTTATTAATTCTAAATTTATATTGCACACTACAATGTATTTAATGGAATAGTTCTAATACATGCCACAATGGATAAAATACACATTATTTATGGATATGTATTTTAATATTCTATAAAGTTATTGTGATGTATAATACAAGTATAAGATAGCTTCTTGTGGCATTAACAAACATTATGATAGTATGTAGTAGATGGCAAGTTGTAGTAATAGTAGCAAAAATTATGGTAGCATTAGTAACACCTTATTTTTATTTTTATTTTTAAAAAATAGAATTTAATAGATTTATTTTATATAATTTTTTATATAAGCTTAAAATAAGTTTAAAGTTTAAATAGAAATTTTAAAAAATTACTCATTTTTTTAAGCCAATATTTGTAATAAAGTCTAAATAATATATATATATATATATATATATATATATATATATAAGAAATTGTTAAAGCCACACTCTTCTTTGTCATCTCATAATTGATTCCTTCTATCCAAATAGTAGCTAAGTATTATATAGTGAGTTGGTTGTCAAGAATTATAAGTCTCATTATTAATTTTTTGTGGCTGGCAAATAGAAAAGAAGGTTGGTCTTGCATTAATACACATAAAATTATAGTAAGTCCAAAGAGTTAGTAACCATTTCTAGCGGGAAACAATGGCCTTGGTATTGCCAAGCCATTCTTTTATTTTTCAAAATATAGAGTGAGAAGAAGTGTTTAGAAAGGTTGTTCAAACTTTGTTTGGTCAACTTCCATTATAATGACCATTGTGCTTGATCTTTATTATAAGCTTAAATAAAATTCTTGAGAAACATAGAAGAGGTGTAAGATGCATTTGTAATGTGAGCTAAAGAGTCATAACATCTCAAGTCAAAATATAAAAATAAAATTGATTCATACATTATGATACAAGAGACTTGGAAGAATTGGAGATGGATTGTGCTAGTTTATATTGATTACTTGCAAGAAACAATGGAGAAAAAAAAATGAAAGACAAAAACAACAATGGAAGAAGAGTGGGAGAAAGAGGAGGAAGATGGAAGAAGAAAAAAGAAGAAGAAAGAGGACGGAGTTTGAGATGAGGTTTAGGATTTAACATTATAAGAATCTTAAGATAAATGTGTAGAGTAGATTCTAGCAAAAATCACAATAAAAAGAGATTAATAGACAAAGACAACCAGTTGTGAATTAAGATTGAAACCAGATCCTTAGGCATAAAATTGTGCACTTACAACAATTATAGTGGTTTTTAGTTTATCAAAGAATAATACTAAAAAAAAAACTTTATAAAATTTGTTTGAAAGTTAGTTTTAAGTTATTTGAGTAGATAATAACTTTATAAGAGCTTTACAAAATTAAAGTTGTTTTTAGTGAATTAATATTTTTTAAAATAAAAAATATATATATTTAAAAAAATTATAAGCATTATAGAAGATTGAAAAGTAAAAAATTTAAAGTTGTGAATCTATTTTTTAAAATATTTTTTGTGAATTTAAGATTAATCAAAAGGTCAAATAAAAGGTAATTGAAATTCAATTGCATTAAGATCTTGGAAGTTGATTTTTAAAGATCAATAAGGGTTTCTACAATCTTAAGAAATTCATTAGCAAAATTGAAATGGTTTTTTTTTTAATTCATGATAAACTTATTTAAATTTTTTTTAAAAAATTAAGAAAAATTCAATAATATAATAAAGAGCTATTATTACTAATAGATTAATATCAAGATTGAAAAGAAAAAAATTCATATCTAAGTGTATCAAGACCTTTCTATTCTAATTTTTAAGCTCTATTTTCTTTAAATTTTGTATGCATGATATTAACTAGTAGTTTGAAAAATTTAGAAATTTTTAATCAAGTTCAATAATTTAATTAATAATTATTGAGATTTTAAAACTGTAATAGGATTTGATAAGTATATTTTTAGGATTTTTTAAGGATTTTTTTAGAATTTTATTATAAATCTTTGAAGATTATTTTTTTTATAAAAAATTAATTTTATTCAAATTTAATTATAATAATAAAGGTTCAATTTGGATTTATTTAGGATTTTATTAGAATTTTTAGGTTAAATGTTAGTTACAAAATATAAGTTTACCTTCTACATTTAAGTCATTAGTGTATTCTTAAACAACATGATATATAATAAAACATAAGTGGTGAATTTGATGTGAAAGTTTGAAGTAAAAGATATTGGATTTTATTTATTCTTATTCAGATTTGATGGGAAAAAAATAAAAATAAAAATATTGAAGTTGGAACTTCAATAAGACTTTTGGATTGATCTTCAAATAGGGCTTTTAATGGATTTTCTACTAAATGATAAGGTATGTACATGAATCCAACCATTGTAAGTATATTTTAAATATTCACATTATCTATGCAACAATAATAATGCAATTATTATAGGAAGGCTTTGAAAATTAAAGCATTATAAAGAGTAATTAATAAAATTGATAAATGTGATGAAAAAGATATTTCAAAATATTTTAGATTTTAAGTAAAAAAAAAATAGAATTGAATCATGTATCCAAAAAGAAGATGATTGAATTGTTTAAACCTATCATAGTACTAGAGATAAAAGAACATGCAAAACTAATTAAAGAGCATTTCAAGATTTTATGGAAGCTCTTTCACATGCATTAAATGACAAACATTTC